GATAATCCTGAGATTCATGTTAATACGATAATTGAATCAGATAATGCAGTATTTTTTAAAAACATTTATCCGTATAAAACTGAAAGTGAGTCAACAAGTGAAAGACCTAAACGACCACGAGAAGAATCAATGGAAAATATTCTAACTAGTGAGGAACCTAGGAGGAGTACTCGACAACGAAAATTTGTTTCTTTCGGACGATATTTTGTAGCACTATTGCTTGAAAATGAGCCTCAAACATTTAAAGAAGCTATGTCTTCGTCAGAGTCAACTTATTGGAAAGAAGCAGTCAATAGTGAGATTGAATCAATTTTAAGCAATCACGCTTGGGAATTGATTGATCTTCCTCCAAGAAATAAACCTTTAGGATCAAAGTGGATCTTTAAAAGGAAATGAAACCTGATGGGACTATTGACAAATATAAGGCTAGACTGGTAGTCAAAGGTTACAGACAAAAGGAAGGTCTGGACTACTTTGACACATACTCTCCAGTAACAAGGATAACATCAATTAGGATGTTAATAGCACTAGCAGCAGTGCATGATCTTAAAATCCACCAAATGTATGTAAAGACAACCTTCTTAAATGGAGAGTTAGAGGAAGAAACTTACATTGAACAACCTGAAAGGTTTATAGTTCCTGGTAAAGAAAAGAAACTGTGCAGACTTGTGAAGTCACTTTATGGACTCAAGCAAGCACCCAAACAATGGCATGCTAAATTTGATCAAATAATGTTGGCAAATGGATTCAAGATTAACGAATGTGATAAATGTGTTTACATTCAAAACGTTATGAATCATGAAGTCATTGTTTGTTTGTATGTAGATGACATGTTAATAATGAGTAAATAAATTGACGATATAAATTCTACTAAGCGCATGTTGTCCAGCAAGTTCGATATGAAAGACTTAGGAGTTGTTGATTTGATCTTAGGGGTCAGGATTATCAAAACTCCCCAGGGACTAGCATTATCTCAATCTCATTATATTGAAAAAGTATTGAATAAGTTCAATTACTTGAATTTCAATGTAGTCAAAACTCTAATTGATTGAAGTTGTACATTTAAAAAGAATGATGGTCAAAGTGACTCCTAATTGGAATATGCCAGAGTGTTGGGAAGTTTGATGTATATTATGAATTGCACGCGACCAGATATAGCATATGCTATTAGTAAACTAAGTCGGTACACTAGTAATCCGAATCAAACTCATTGGATGGCTATGAAATGTGTGTTGGGTTATCTAAAATGGACACAACATTATGTTTTGCATTATAAAACATTTAAGTCATGAGTGTCAGACAAAATGTTAGTTAGTTTTGGACATCATTCTGGTTTCATTATTATCATTTGTACAAAACTTCACACTTTTATCTGAATTGTGACCGTATGAAAGCCAATCAGATATCTTTGCCCAATAATTTCTTATCATGTACAAAGTGTGCAAAAGTTTGAAATTAAGAAAAAATTAAAATATCAAATTTAGATCGTTGAGGTATGACATATATTCACACTGTACATGTGAAACGAGAAAGGTCTACATGTCTAATCATATATAAGGTTAAGAAGTTAGAAAGTTTCAAGTAAAACAAAATAATTTTCATAAATTTATAGGAATTTTAGGCTTGCTAGTGCGGGTTACCTATCCTATTTGATTTGTGATCTATAGCATAAGGGGGGGGTTTACCCTGTGCGCACCCAAAAGATAGTGGTTGCGGGTTTCCCTTGTCATCAAAAAAGAAATATTGAACAAAAGTGATGTTGTAATAAAACTCTCATATTTAGACTTATTACTCGCAAGTTTTCAACATGAGACGACGGACAATAATAAAACTCTCATATTTAGACTCATCACCCGTAAGTTCTCAACTTGAGACGATGAACAATCTTACCCTTAGAAGTATTCATTCTCGAAATATGACAACACATTAATCATGTTCTTTCTCAAACAAAAGTCTTGAGTATTCAAACTCACATAATTTTACCTTTAGAACGTTTAACCAATTATTTAAAGATGATTTTATCGAATAGGAAGTATGCATGATCATAACGAAGTTGTGAAGTTTTGCAACGGAGAAGGTCGGAAAACAGTAACTCGCGTCTTTATGTTAGTTTTTGTCCGTACTTAGTCATAATGTAAAATATCTTACCAAAGAACCCCAGAAACGATTTTTCCAAGACTTGGGGTTTTTCTCTATTGAGGTAAGTGTCTTCCGTTCATTCGTTTCTTCCATATTTTGATTTACTCCTAGAACTGAAAAGAATATCCATAGGATTTCATCCGTTGAAAACTAGGGTTATTATTTTGATGGCACAACATGTGGGGCAAGTTAATTATGAATGATCTTAAATTCTAGTCCGTTAAATCTTGCCTTTCTAGTATAGATTTATGAACCTAGCCTACCTAGAAACCCCATAAAATTGATTCATTAAGCGTATGAATTGCTCAACGGAAATTAATGAGGTATAAATAGTGATCTAGTTATTATAAAGAAACTGTCCATTATACTGAAACACAAGCAGATTTTAATACTCGGTTTTCCATTTCCGAATTTCTACCACACTCTTGACTCACAGAGATCTACACAAGGGTACTATCGCCCTGAACAACTATAATGACATAATAGATCATTACAAATCTGCTGCATAATCTTAAATTTCTACCGATTCTTGCCATATTTTTGTTGATAAAACAACAAAGCCATGCTTGTCGGACAAAAATGTTAGCTAGTTTTGGCCATCATTCTGTTTACATCTGGACAAAACTTCACACCATACTAGACCAGTTTTACTTCTATGAACTCTACCATGTTTTGATGTGATGATGGGGGTAAGGTGCTAATTTTTTAAGCTTTTGTTGTCGCCAGAACTATGTAGTATGGTTCGGCAACTTCCTTGATAGAATATTGGGGCTTATGGAAAATCTAGCTTGACCTAAATGGTCTATGCGAGTCACTCAGGGAGGATATGGTATGGTTATGGAAAAGGTCAAAATAGACGGCAAATCAATTCATAGCCCTAGTTTTATTTCAATAAGACATGTCCAGACTACTTGCTTGACTAATACGAGCATGACTAATACCCGCCTAAGTAAAACCTGCATAACTAAACCCTACGTAAGTAATACCTGCATAACTAATACCCAAATAGCTCTATCTAGTTACTAAACAACAATGGAAAGATCGAAGCAATGAAAGCAGAGTGGTTGCTACTAGTAATGTCTTGTCACCGCAAACAAATGCAGGAAGATGGTCATGTTAGTTTGTAACAACACATGGCGGCTTCCATGTTATCATACAAAATAGAGGACAAGCTTAAAGAAGTTGTAGTAGCTTAAGCTATTCAAGAATCTAATTGTCCATAAAGAACTAATAGGGTGGTGAGTTAAAGAATGTTCATTTTGGGATAGAATTTTTGTTGTGTATGGTGATCAAACGTCATCAACATCACTTCCTACAACATGAATATCATGACTAGCCGAGTAATGGCTTCCATCAGGGCCACAAATCTTAAACCTGTTGAGTATAAAAGAAAGTACCTCAGTGAGGACTTATGATATGTTCCTAACTCAATGCTAAAGAAAACTGAAGTAATCAACTGACCGCTCAAGCACTAATTTTCCTTCTTTGTACTTTTGGCTCATCTCATGGGCGGTCTCCTGAAAAGAATCATCATATTAGAAACAACTAAAACTTCTAGCAACTGCCAAAAGACAATGTCTAGCATTTTATCACTCCATACTCACATATTTCCATCCAGCACTTGACCCACAACACACACAGAAAATGTCTGCCACAGTGTGCATACCAGTCATCATCATTCTATTTTCTATCTCACCAGAAGTGACATTCACCCTGTCAAAAGAAACAAAAGGCGTATAGAATACACAAAACTACAAAGTGCATTATCATTTTGATTGTTTATGCTAAATGATAAAATTAAAGGAAGAGGTTTGAGAAGAGTAGAACTCTTGAGCAGGAGCAACCAAGTGGAGCATAATATACATATTCAGCCATGTAACTATTGTAATGCTGCTACCAAGTGAAAAATAACCCAAGTCAAGTAAGAAGTTACTCTATATATTGATGTGTTAATGTTTCTACTCCTGGAAATACATTCAAAAGTACACGATATAATAGTCTGGTAAAATCCCCACTAAGCTCTATAGTAATTCCAATAGATCACATTCTGGTGCTAATTTTATAGTCAATGACAAAAATGTATGAAGATATACATATAAAGTACCATGTCTTTAACAAACTAAATCTACAAGGTATACCCTACCTTGTTCAACTTTTCATGTGCACTCAAATATTCTAGGTTGGTCATGAGTTAAGACCTTCCGAAATAATAATGAATCATGAGTACAAACATTATATTTGCTCTGATTTTGTTATCTGGTCTGAGTCATTATTATTTCGGAAGGTCTTAACTCATGACCAACCTAGAATATTTGAGTGCACATGAAAAGTTGAACAAGGTAGGCTTTACCTTGTAGATTTAGTTTGTTAAAGACATGGTACTTTATATGTATATCTTCATACATTTGTGTCATTGACTATAAAATTAGCACCAGAATTTGATCTATTAGATTTACTATAGAACCTAGTGGGGATTTTACCAGACGATTATATCGTGTACTTTTGAATGTATTTCCAGGAGTACAAACATTAACACATCAATATATAGAGTAAATTCTTACTTGACTTGGGTTATTTTTCACTTGGTAGCAGCATTACAATAGTTACATGGCTGAATACATATATTATGCTCCACTTGATTGCTCCTGTTCAAGAGTTCTGATCTTCTCAAACCTCTTCATTAAATTTTATCATTTAGCAAAAACATACAAAATGATAATGCACTTTGTAGTTCTGTGTATTCTATACGCCTTTTGTTTCTTTTAACAGTGTGAATGTCACTTCTGGTGAGATAGAAAATAGAATGATGATGACTGGTATGCACACTGTGGCAGACATTTTCGGTGTCTGTTGTGGGTCAAATGTTGAATGGAAATATGTGAGTAAGGAGTGATAAAATGCTAGACATTGTCTTTTGGCAGTTGCTAGAAGTTTTAGTTGTTTCTAATATGACAACTCTTTTCAAGAGACCGCCCATGAGATGAGCCAAAAGTACAAAGAAGGAAAATCAATGCTTGAGCGGTCAGTTGATTACTTCAGTTTTCTTTAGAATTGAGTTAGGAACATATCATAAGTTCTCACTGAGGTACTTTCTTTTATACTCAACAGGTTTAAGATTTGTGGCCCTGATGGAAGCCATTACTCGGCTAGTCATGATATTCATGTTGCAGGAAGTGATGCTGATGATGTTTGATCACCATCCAGAACAAAAATTCTATCCAAAAATGTACATTCTTTAACTCACCACCCCATTAGTTCTTTATGGACCATTGGATTCTTGAATAGCTTAAGCTACTACAACTTCTTTAAGCTTGTCCTATATTGTGTATGATAACATGGAAGCCGCCATGTGTTGTTGCAAACTAACATGACCATCTGCCTGTATTTGTTTGCAATGACAATACATTACTAGTAGCAACCACTCTACTTTCATTGCTTCGATCTTTCCATTGTTGTTTGGTATCTAGATAGAGCTATGTGGGTATTAGTTATGCAGGTATTACTTACGTAGGGTTTAGTTATGCAGGTATTACTTACGCGGGTATTAATCATGCAGGTATTAGTCAAGCAAGTAGTTTGGATATGTCTTTTTGAAATAAAACCAGGACTATAAATTGATTTGCCGTCTAGTTTTCCCTTTTCCATAACCATCCCATATCCTTCCTGAGTGACTCGCATAGACCATATAGGTCTACCTAGATTTTCCATAAGCCCCAATATTCTATCAAGGCAGTTGCCGAACCATACTACATAGTTCTGGCAACAACAAAAGCTTAAAAAATTAGCACCTTACCCCCATCATCACATCAAAACATGGTAGAGTTCATAGAAGTAAAACTGGTCTAGTATGGTGTGAAGTTTTGTCCAGATGTAAACAGAATTATTTCCTAAACTAGCTAACATATTTGTCCGACAATCATGGCTTTGTTGTTTTATTAACAAAAATATGACAAGAGTCGGTAGAAATTTAAGATTATTCACCAGATTTGTTATGACCTATTATGTCATTATAGTTGTTCAGGGCGATAGTACCCTTGTGTAGATCTCTGTGAGTCAAGAGTGTGGTAAAAATTTGGAAATGGAAAACCGAGTATGAAAATCAGCTTGTTTTTCAGTATAATGGACAGTTTCTTTGTAATAACTAGATCACTATTTATACCTCATTAATTTCTGTTGAGCAATTCATACGCTTAAAAAATCAATTTTATAGGGTTTCTAGGTAGGCTAGGTTCATAAATCTATACTAGAAAGCCAAGATTTGACGGACTAGAATTGAAGATCATCATAATTAACTTTCCCCACATGTTGTGCCATCAAAATAATAACCCTAGGTTTCAATGGAGGAAATCCTATGGATATTGTTTTCAGTTCTAGGATTTAACCAAAATATGGAAGAAATGAACGAACGGAAGACACTTACCTCAATAGAGAAAAACCCCAAGTCTTGGAAAAATCGTCTCTGGTGTTCTTTGGTAAGATATTTTACATTATGACTAAGTACGGACAAAAACTAATATAAAGACGTGAGTTACTATTTTCCGATCTTCTCCTTAGCGAAACTTCACAACTTCATTATGATCATGCATACTTCCTATTTGATAAAATCATCTTTAAATATTTGGTTAAACCTTCTAAAAAGGTAAAATTATGTGAGTCTGAATACTCAAGACCTTTGTTTGAGAACTTACGGGTGATGAGTCTAAATATGAGAGTTTTATTATTGTCCGTCATCTCATGTTGAAAACGTGCGAGTAATAAGTCTAAATATGAGAGTTTTATTATAACACCACTTTTGTTCAATATTTCTTTTTTGATGACAAGGGAAACCCGCAACCGCTATCCTTTGTGTGCGCATAGGGTAAAACCCCCCCTCTTATGCAATAGCTCGCATATCAAATAGGATAGGTAACCCGCACTAGCAAGCCTAAAATGCCTATAAATTTATGAAAATTCTTTAGTTCCACTTGAAACTTCTTAACTTCTTAATCTCATATATGATTAGACATGCAGACCTTTCTCGTTTCACATGTACAGTCTGCATATATGTCATACCTCAACAATCTAAATTTGATATTTTAAATTTTTTTAGTTTCAACCATTTTGCACACTTTGTACACGATAAAAAATTATTGGGCCAAGATATCTGTTTGGCTTTCATAGGTCACAATTCAGATATAAGTGTGAAGTTTTGTCCAAATGAAAATAATGAAACAAGAATGATGTCCAAAACTAACTAACATTTTGTCTGACACTCGTGACTTTATTATTTTATCAACAAAATATGACAATTTGCATTGAATAACATACTCATTATCCTTAATAGAGAAAACTCTCCCTCAACAATGTTTCAGTAGATAACAACAATTTCACTACAATTAAGATTATTAAGCAAATACATAACGACTTTTTCCATCGTTATTGTTGTTTAGGCGATAGTACCCTTGTGTAGATCTCCGTGGGTTAAGAGTTGGTAGAAATCTTAAAATGGAAAATCGAGTGTGAAATTCATCTTGTGCTTCCCTATAATGAAAACTTCTTTAAATAGCGAGATTGCTATAACGAAGGAATGCTACATAGAGAAGGTAGCGAAGTTTCGCTATAGTGAAGGTCGGGAAATAGTAACTCGTGTTTTTAAGCTAGTTTCATTCAGATTTAATCATAACGTAATTTTTTTACCAGAGAACCCTAGAGGAGATTTTTTTAAGACTTTGTGATTTTCTCTCTTGAGGTAAGTTTTTTCGGTTCATTCATTTGTTCCTTCCATACTTCGATGTCCTCCCTGAATTTAAAGATATGCTCTTCATAGGATTTTACACATTGAAACCTAGAATTATTATTTTAATGGAACATGTAGGACAGGTTAATTATGAACAAGTTTCAATTTAAGTCCGATAAACTCTGTCGACTAGTATGGAATTATAAACCTTAACTTAATTATGAATTTGAGGAACCTAGAAATCACATAAAATGATTTTTTTAAGCATATGAACTGCTCAAGATAAGTTAATGGGGTTGAAGCTTTATGAATGAGTTTGATATGATCATGCAAACCTCTGATGTAATAAAATAGTCTTTAAATAATTGATTAAAATTTCTTAAACATAGAATTATGTGAGTTTGAATGCCCAAGGCCTCTGTTTGAGAAAGTAGATGATTAATCTGTTGTAATATATTGATGATAAATGATCCTAAGGGAAAAGGACGTACACACTGGATGTTTAAGATTATCTGTCGTCCAATGTTGAAGACTTACGAGTAACAAGCCTAAATATGAGCGTTTGATTATAATATCACTTCTGTTAAACAACATTCTATTTAAATTAAAATTTTATAACAATATATGTTTAATTTCTTCCTAAAATGCTTTAAAAAATATGAAAATTCTCTAGTTCCACTTCAAAATTTATAACCTTCTAAATCTCAATATGATTGGACCTACGGACGGTTTGTGTGTCACATTTACCGTCCATATATTCGTCATACCTCGACGATCAAAATTTGATATTTTAAATGCTCTTTGATTTCAACATGAAAAGATATTAGCTTTTACTATATCTACATTTGCTTTAGCATATCTTAGTCAAAGCAATGAAATTTAATGACTCAAATCTAATTCAATTTTTTGAAGTGTTATAGTTGACCTTAGTAATTCATACCAAAATTACGGGTAAAATTACTTTATATTTGGCTTTCATATAACAACAACTGAAGTTTTATACCAATGAAAGATTGATTGTTGACACCCAATCTTATCCTTCATTCTCATTTTTTTTTACGAGCTTCTTTTATTTGCGAGGCCAAAATATTTTTTAAGCTATCTTTGTCTACTTTTGTGCTAAAAATAAATGTTATATGCTTTATTTTGTTGTCATTATATTGCATTTTCTGTTAGTGAACTGAGGAGAAAAGGGATTTGGCGGGAAGAGGAGTGTAACATGAAATAAGTAAGAAGGTCAACCTTTTTCAAATATATGACAATGTAGTTGGACTCTCATGTTGATCCGCATGAATCATCCTTTTTATGGAAGTAAATGTTTGTCTTCTTGGCAGAGGATAGTAAGTTCCAAGTTTCATCTGAGATATTTTTATTACCATGCAATTCATATTTTTAATTTGGTTTCACTTGTTATTACATATTTTATTATTCTTTTATACTATCTTAGTTTAGTTAGTTCTGGTAGCAAAGAACTTATTGAAAGTCGAGTATATTTTCTACCATCATGTGAATTTTTCTTGCAACCTATTCGATCATCTAAATGATGTGTAACTCTCTATTCAATTATTCATACATGCTTTTTATTTGGGGTTTTTGCGTCCTAGCAAAACAACTAGATTGATTTTAATTCTTAATCATGTTTTTTCATTTTTCTTGTTGTTGCTACAATTCTCATTTACCCAAATTTTCTTTTTCCTATTTGTTGGAATATGCTTTAGTACAAGTTTAGATTCAAGCAATTTTAGTCTTGAAAAATAACAAACAAGCGGCAGCCTTAGTGGTAAAAGTAGTGGTGGTTGCTCAAAAGAGGAGAAAGGAATGAATGTGATGGCAACAATAATGACAAATTTGGAAAAATAAAATGATCATTAATGTATAGGAGATAAGTGACTAGAAAAAATGAATGAAAGAAGGAGAGAGTATGATTAACAATGGTGGTCGCCGGAAAAGTGACGTGACGAACACAAGGAAGAAGAAAGAGGATTATTTTTTAAAAAAACGAAGTGTCTAATTAGAGCTTTCACGCGCTCATCAAACATGAACACACTTAAAATGCCACATAGGCAAAAAATGGCTCAAGAGGTATCAATTCAAAGTTCTATAGGTGTTCAATAGATAAAAGCTTTAATTAAGGTGTCTAAGTGAATTATGCGGACAACTTTAAGGGGCTGCTAATGACTTAAGCCAATTTATAAACTACATGGTGAAAAAGATTAAATTAGACAAAGAAACTTATGATGTCAAAAATCAACATAAGCAGCTAAAATAAACAATTAAACAACTCAAAAAAATCACATACTTGGAAATGAGAAGAAGAAACAAATCACCGATCGTATTCGTTGTATCATTGCCAGCATTAAGGAACTCATCCGTACGAGTCTTCTGCAGGGGTGCAGCTGATGCAATATTAAATGCAGGTACATGAACTTTATATTATGAAGCTGAAATCACTAATTTCTCACTAGTTGGACACATTTATATGATGTCCGTAAAGACTCAAAATATTTTTGGAACTTGAAGTTGAAATGCACCTACAAAAAAACAACTTCAACTTGAAATTTATTCTTTATGTTGTCAATTTGAACAAATAAAGGTCAATAAATGGAAGA